ACTTTGGATACCAGCGTCCAAATTAGATGTAATGTAACATTACAATTAGGTACAATTAAGCAAACCACACAGATCAGCTGACAAAAATACACTTTTGGTTTGCCTGGTTGAGAAAAATACTGTCTGGTATGTTATAATGCAGGTTTGAATATTGGTCATCCATTGATTGATTTCACAATTTCTTAAATTATAAATATCATGAAGTCACATATAAAGATTTTACTTAAAATAAGTAATCAAATGCACACTTGTACATTTCAAAAAGCTGTTAGTAAATGAAAATACATGTTTCAAAATGTGGCAAATTGTTCTTATTATAGTTTCATATCAATCAAATCAGTATTAGGGTAGTTGAGAGCAATAATATTAAGTTGAACCTTTATCTTTATTTAACCTTAATACTATTGCTTTCAACTAATAAACCTAATACAATAACGTGAAATCTGTTGACATAATACATTTAATTAAAGTCAACATTGCAGTTTTTTCAGTGTTGTTTTATGTGAAAGTCGAGCCATACTTTGCCTTTCTGCTGCGTTTTGGAAACAGTTTTGTACCTATAAGTATACAGTTACCTTGAAGTCGTCCTTATAATCCCTCCACTTTGTCTGCCAGGTTGAGACGTGTGTCAGCAACATTAATGTTTGTGAGTCGAGCAGTGTTTGTGAGGGTAAAGTTTCCTCTTGACGCCCGGGATGATAAAAATCCAGCGCTCACATATTCAGTATTTCACCAGTGCTGCTAAGTGGGTGATCTGTCACGCCTGAGTTATGAAATGTCACACACAGACACACACACACACACACACACACACACACACACACACCAAAGAGGCAGAATCATAACAGTGATGGTGACGGTGATGCAGGAGATAAAGGAGCAGTCCGCATATTACAGCATGGCAGCAAGCCGACAGGCGGTGACAGCCAGGAGAGAGAGAGAGATTACTGACACACACACACACACACACACACACACACACACACACACACACACACACACACACACACACACACACACACACACACACACACACACACAGGCACTCAGAAGGTGAGATTTGTCTCCCAGCATATGTACTCTGCAGTAATCTCTTTGTCTAGGATACACTCAGATGGAGAGTATGTGTTGCAGTGGATGCCATATATTCAGTTTGGTTAACAGGCATTATTTAAAATAAGTTCAATATAAGCTTTATATGTACATAAAGTTGTTTTTTTACATCCATATTTGCTGTTTTTTAATTATAGTTTATATTTCCTTAAAGTCCTTCCTCATCACGTGCCATGTGCATTGAAGTTAATTAACTAATATGAGCTTTATATATAATTAAAGTGCTTGTTTACATTTTCTGTGACTATACACTAAACTTAAAGCTTAGCACTGAAAATTACCTTTTACAGTATTTGTTCAACCTTTACCACATCTTGACAGATTGGCTTTAGACTCATTGTTTTTTTCCGCTGCCTCCAATAGTGCTCTTGATGGCATTTTAAAGGTTTAACTGCCAAAAACAAATTGAGGGGCCCATGACGAAGTTTCAATCAAACATTCAAACTAGGCAGCGCAAGATCACATATATATGAACATTCTGTTACTGCATTGCCTATTTATTACCTCAAATCTTTTCAGAAACATGTTTTAGCCTGCTGTTAAGCACCCAAACACTGGAACAAGAAACTATGACAAAGTATGTCATTATAGTTTTAAGATCAGGTTCATTTGCACTAAACTAAACTTTTAATTTCAAACTTTTTTGATATAAAGGATTTGATTTAGTTTTTGATGTTTTTCTTATTTTTCTATTGTAACTGTTTGCTGTGTCACACTGTTTTAGTCACCTCTGCTCTGATTGGTTGTTTTCCCCAGATGCATTGCAAGTGTGCAAATCAGGAGTAAAATATGACTAAAAGTTATCAACTGAACCGTTAAGCATAAGCAGGTAAAAGGCTTTAGCATTCTGAAATTGACAAATAAATGGGGCATAATAATCGAATATGTGCAAAGTTAATCGTTGCTGTTTTTTGTTCTGGCAAGTATTCCTTTATAGCTCTGCAAAAAACAATGTTGATACAGAAATGATGCAGAGAGAATTCCCTTTGGAGGACGCCCACTTGATTTTAGAGCTGATAGCTGAAGCTACATTAGCTTTGCTGGAGGGGAAGCAGAGTTAGATGACCTTTCTCGTTGGCCAGGACTGTTTCTCAAGAATCTGGCCAAATATCAAAGTGTTAATTTAGACAAGGCCAGTTTTCAATGAGGTACAGAGGCCCAGTTATAAGTAGCAGCTTTTCTCTGCTTCACTTGGCAGTCTCTCCTAAATTATGTTTACAACAAAAAAAAGATCTTTAACAACTTCTCTTGATGAAGCTTTTTGAAGGCCATACAATATTTGTTATTTTAATATGGGTATTACTGCATTTGATTTTTAACAGACATTGAGGCACGATGAAATAATGAGCGGTTCACCTTGTGTTATTTATATTTTAACTTATTTTATTATGCACAAATGAAAAATATGTTGAGAGCTAATCACAGGGCAACATATCAGATGTGACATGATTGGTTACTTGCTAAATATTACTTACTGTATTTCTTTTATGTGACTGTCTTCAGTTTACCAGCCCAATAGATAGCCTACCTATTTTTTGCGAATTAAAAGTTGAACATTTCGGGAAATAAAATTATTTGGTTAATTAACTCGTCTGAAGCCATTAGCAGCTTGTTTTAGCCAATTTTAGTTGGGTTTAGCCAGTTTAGCTCAACTGAGCTTAGCTTAGCTCATTTTAGCTCATCTTATTTTAGCTCTGTTTTTTCGACAGTGGTGACGTGCCATATATAGATCAGTGGAGTTTCCCATGATTCTATACTGGGGTATGGTGCATGGTGGTCAAAAACATTTATTCTATTATATTGTAATCTAATTCACATAATATGTCACTGCATTGATTACATGTAATGCCCTTACAGGACATAGAAAATATGAAACAGCATGAGGATTATGTTATTGTGGCTAAAAATTCAAATATTAAATATTGTGCTTTATTATTATTATTATTATTGTTGTTGTTGTTGTAGTTATTATATTATTATTGTTATCATTACTCTTTGTGGTAGTATTTTTGTAACTATTTTAATTGTTATATTATTTTTTCTTTTGGTTTCCGTAGGACTTAAATCGACTCCATTTTCAAACATGTCCTCAAATGCATCAGGTGAGTTTGTCTCTGTATGTGTTTTCATTATGTTATTGCATTGATAAACAAGTATCAGTCGCATGCAGTGAATATGAGTGGGGTTCTGATTTATTATTTTATATGCCACATTTTAAGGAATTCCACGGAAACACTAAGTTATACCATGTTTAAATAAGGCTCTCCCAGATAAGGATTTTTATAATCTTTATCTAATTGTAATTGGCCTCAATTTTTCTCATGGTGATGGAGTGGCGATTAGGCAGGGTTTATTAAACCAAGAGTCCCTATGTGTTATGTCGGCTATTCAAAGGCATTCATTAATAGATCACTAGACAGTGTCATTGCAATATAACACCATTGTTTACTGGTTGTGTTATCAATATCAACCCGCATGTTCCTATTTTCTCGTACTTTGCAGCCTGCTTATGTTTTTTTGCCAATTTATTATCTAAAAATATTTGAATTCTACAAATATATCCAAAAATATGCATATGCAAATATATTCTTATTGCTATTATAATTATAATGATATATTATTATATATTACTATTCTTATCCTTATTATATGCAAATGCAGGGTAAACTCCATGCCTGTCACACTGAGCAGTCATCCTGTAATGGCTGCCACTGCTCATTGTTCACATCCTGCTTTGTCTTCAGCGCCATTTTGACTGTGGGGGGAGGGGCAGCTAGTTAGCAACACACACAAACCTACACTCTATCTCTCTTAACCATGTAAACATGCTAATTCAAGGTTTGCTCGATATTTACCCTTCTATCTTAATAGAGGAGGATAATTAGCAATACAAGCTACAGTTAGCTTCACTAAAGTAGCTAGCTCATGTTAGCTCTGGGCCTCCTCAAAGACTATATTGTAGCATCTCTGCTGCTCTGACATGGTGGAAGCTAGGCCATGCTATGCTAACCATAGGCTCCAGCTCAGAGGCAGAGGGCTACCAATGTAATACTAAGCTAACTGGGAAGGAGGGAAACAATTGTGTGTGTGTGTGTGTGTGTGTGTGTGTGTGTGTGTGTGTGTGTGTGTGTGTGTGTGTGTGTGTGTGTGTGTGTGTGTGTGTGTGTGTGTGGAAATAATCGCTGTGGCCTCGGACTGTTTCTCCTCTTTTTATCTGCTCTGGAAAATATTTCGCTCTTAAGGGTTATCTCTGTGTAAACAACCATACTGGGCCATGCCAGGCTATATCAGGCTATATGTTTATGTTTTAGCCTAAAGTGTGGGAAAACAAGATGGGACATTTAAACTGGAAACTAGCATCATGACACAACATTAAAATAGGATATCAGACGATCAAAAAAATAAAATAACAAATAGCCTCATGACATAGCCTTAAACCTTATCTTGACTATTAGAATAAAAGAACAACCTGGTTTAAAACTAGGCTACCTCTTATGGAACAACATATAGGCCTATGGCTATGCTATTTAAACAGATTCAAAATGTCCAATTTGGCAAAATATTGTAAAACTAATAACAATAAACATTAGCATAAAAATAATAATAGGTCTACTGATGCTCATTTGGTTTGTTAGGCTATTTAAAAATGCACTGTAAGCAGCTATTATCGTTCACTTCATTCAAAAATATATTTAGGCCTACTGCATGCCGTAGCCTATATTTTCACACAATTATTAGGTAGGTGTTATTAGGCACTCCGTTAATTAATTTAGCCAAAACAAAGACATCGTAAATGTTTGTGTGTTTTTATTATTATTATTCCACTATGAAAATATATGTACAATAAATAATTTGGATTTTCACTATTAAAGAATCTCAATAAATAAACGGGTCTAAAACTCGGGTCATCAGCAGGGCTTCTCTGGAGTTGAGATTGTGTAAAAGCAGTCCAGCTTTCTGCATCGAACAGTTCCTGAGAAGTTATTTAGAATCCATGAAGCACATGAACCAAAATGCACGGGGAAAAATCCACACAAACGGAAAAGGGCTAATCATTTGAACAAAAACGAGGCAATAGCCTACATAGGCTACCTGAAGAATGGAAAGGAAAAAAAACGTTTCGATGGTGGAAAAATCAAATGTTCCTTCGATGTTTAAAAATGTAATTAGGCTATCTCTATATATAGCCGCAAAATAACACCAGCAAAAAGACGAACCAATATTTTTGAAAAGAACATCAATTCATTCAGAAACGTTTCAGTAATGTTGCCTCGAAGCATTAATGCTTTTTAAACAACCGTCGCCTCCGCTCGATTGTTCACCCGTCCTCCTCTTGTATTAGTCTTCTTTATTTCTCTCAGAAGTTGAGGTTGTGCAGATCTATGGTGCACAGTGTGCTTGTGAATAAATCGAAGTCCTCCTCGGAGAAATCCACCGGGCTATCCAGGGAGCTCTGCAGGCTGGGAGACAGGCAGGAGTCCCCGGCGAAGAAGGTGAGGTCGGGGAGCGAGGAGGTGGATGAGGACGCGGCAGCAGGAGTAGAGGAATCCCGCTGCTCGGAGAAGGACGGATCGGGTGCTGCTGGCCCGGCCTCGCTGAGCTGCATCAGACCCGGGATATCGGCGGAGTTCTGAGGCGCAGGAGGGGAGTCAGAGGAGCCAGATGCCCCTGGAAGCGGTGGGCGTTCAGGGCGGCTCAATCGGCCTCCCTCCTCCGGCGTGGGTTGTGTATTATCCCCGCTGTCATTCGCGTAGGCGGCCGAAGATGGATTGCAGCTCCCCGCCTCACCGTCCGACGTCGCCTCCCCTGTGCCAGATGCTTCCAGCGGCTGGCTCGAGTACGGAGAGGAGGCATCGGCGCCTTCGAGCGGCTCAAACCCACCCGGGTCGATGGATTCATGCCCCCCTCCGTCCCGGTGGTGCGTAGTCTGGCGCTTGTGTTTCATGCGCCGGTTCTGGAACCAAACTTTCACCTGTCGCTCGGTCAGGTCCAACAGCGCGGCGATCTCCACCCTCCTGGGCCGGCATAGGTACTTGTTAAAGTGGAACTCCTTCTCCAGTTCCAGCAGCTGGGTGTTGGTGTAGGCGGTGCGCAGCCGTCGGGACCCGGCTCCACCATCCAGACCCGCATGGCTCGGGTCTGCAGAGACAAATACAAATAAAAGGAGAGCAAAATAATATTGGGGATTTATGTGTAAAATCTTTTGCCTTTTTTATTTTATAGTTCATTTAAACTTCAAATTGTAATCTATTTCATGAGAGCTGTAAAACCTCTGCAATTTTATTGCGTGCGAGATTTCCAACCAAGAAATAAGCTGCTTCAGCATCGAGCAGAAATCCCCTCGGCTCTTCTGTCTGTAATAAAACAGTAATAAAACACAAACACTCTCGTAAAAAAATACTCCTTCCGATTACAGTAGCAGCCAAAGCCATAACTGTCAGAGCGGGCCAATTTGTTGATGGTAAAAAAAAAATAATATAGTAAAAAGGCAGATAAAGGCAGATGATAATGGTAAAACTGGTTTTCTCTTCTGTAAAGTCTGGAGCTTGAGAGGCTGCAGTATGAGATCAGAGAATCGAAAGAGAAGAAAATAAATAAATCATGGGGAAATGTACAGGGAGATGTAGGAATGTCGATGTGACACCAAACATAACTTAAACCATGAATAGCTTTGTGAATGAGGCAGAAAAGGCAGGAAATTGGGCGAAAAAGGAACACGAGACCTGGTGGGATTTTATGTGTGTGGAGAAAAAAAAGTACAGTGATTGCAATGGAGGGTAGTGAAAAAGACAAAAATGGCCTAAACCCAAGACAATCTGATTGTGTGCAGTCTGTATCCTGTGTGCATGTAGCTATACCTCCCCCAACCCCCACCCCATCATATTCTGTTGCTCTGCCTCGCCATTATATTCCCTACCTCCATCCAATATGGCTACCCCCTCAGTTGTGTTATGAATATATAATGCCATGGCGACGCTGCTGAAGCCCCACCATGCACCCAAACAGAATCTGCAGAATGGATGAAAAAACCCGCCTCTGTACGTCTTTACGCACAATAAAGAAGTGTAGCAGAACAACGATTGGAAGTGTAAGCTTTAGATGGTGCATAATTAAAATGATGCAGACCTGTGCCTGGTTTGCACTCTTAAAACTTAATTCTGAATGCTAAACAAAAACAATGACCAATATATTTGGAACATCGCGTTAAATGGTGCATATGTACATGCATGATGAAGACTAGAGCAAAGCACTGCAGCATAATGCAGGGGTGTCGATTTGGCTTCCCTGTTGACACAGCATCACAGCACTGCACTGCACACACCCACACACACACACCCACACACACACACCCACACCCACACACACACACACACACACACACACACACACACACACACACACACACACACACACACACACTGGAAAAAGACAATGTCATCTAACCAAATCCTTGCTGTGTGTAATGAATGGTAAGTTATAGAGTGGATGTGAAATGAAGATGAACACAAAAATAAAGCACAACCTGCATATCACACTCCCATCACACACACACACACACACACACACACACACACACACACACACACACACACACACACACACACACACACACACACACACACAGCCGCTCCCAGCATACCGACCTGTGGGTGACTCGATGCCCGCCGAAGCGTACCCGGAGGCGGTCGGTGACGGGGAGGAAGAGGCAGGGGGGATGATGGATATGCCACCGCTGGAGCTGCTCCCAGGCTTGGGGGGCTTCTTGGATGACTTCTTCTCTTTCATCCAGGGGAACTCGTGGGCCAGCGGTCCGGCCAGGATGGCGGTGGCCGGGGCAGGGGCCTGGCCGGGCGGGCAGGGCTGCTGGGCGGCTCGGTGCTGCGTATGGAGGCCATTAGTGACGGAGGTCCTCCGGTTCTGCTGGCTCCTAGCAGTCGGTCTCGGCTGGCTGGCTGTGCAGGGGCTGAGGCTGGGGATGGTGTGCTCAAAGGGAGGCGGAATTACTGTCGAGTCCTTGATTGATGAAGTTTGAAATGACTCCAGGACGGCGGGGAAGGACGTCAGACACTCTGCTAGGGACGGCTGGCTGTTTATAAAACCGATCTCCCTCTCAAATTCAAAATTCATTGCTCCCTCAAACCGGCTTCTACCTCAAACGGCGAGACCCCCGAAACAATCCCTTCCCCAAAATAAAAAAAAACATACACACATGCAAGCACGCCCGCACACGCTCACAACACAATAAGGCTTTGTACAAAAAGAAATGAAAAAAAAAACACGAGCGTGTAAGGGTCCCGACCGCAATGGCGTAAATGCGGTGGCTATTTAATAATTGTATATTGGTGATATTACTAGCGTATGGGGACCTGGGTAGGCTAAACTGAAGATCTATGGGGCGAAATTGCAGCCAATTCTTGGTCACGTGACCAAAGCAAACCAATCAGGAGCCCGGGCCTGACGGCAGTGATGGCTGTGGGAAGCAGCATTATTATTTTCTGTGGCAGAGAGGGGCTATATCGTAGGATAGCTGCTATTGTTTAGTCCTCACGGGGGGTAAAGTCCATGGAGAAAAAATGTGAAGGCGGCCGGTCGCCATGTGCGCTGTGTGGGCGGCGGGTCGGCACATCCCGGCCCCGCGTTACGCACAAACAATAGCGCATCCCCGGACACATTTCGGTCCTCTGGGTGATGTAATGACTGTTAACATTAGGCTGGCCACCACCGTTTACAATATGGCTCCCTTAGAAAAAAAACTACTGTTTACACCACACAGTTCATTAATCTTATAAAGTGTGACAGAGGCTGAAAATCCTCAATTTAGAAAGTTTGGGAGGGTTTTAGATGGCGCAGCCGCTCAGGAGGAGAGGATGGAGAAGATTTCTGCAGATTCTAGGAGAGAAACATTTAGATTTAACTGGGGAGGGAGGCAGCCTGTTGGTGTAAGTGAACATTTACATTTCTTAATAGACCTCTTCTTTTATTTGTGATGTAATGGCTTTCCCTACGTGTGCGTATATGCTTAAAATAGTAAGCCTTTATGTTGTCTAAATAAAATCCACCTTGAATAGCCTCTGCTGCACACTATCAATGTTTTGCTAGCTTCTCTCACACTCGCTCCACAGTGTGATGCATGAGTGTTAAAATGTTCGCTGTGTTTACGCACAGAGTTCACAGCGAGGTCGCTCCTGCATGGAAGGAGGGGAAGAGGCGGGCCTCCTTTTCCTCTTAGTAAAAAAATAATAATACAGCAGCAATAATGTAAACGCTAATACTAAGTGAGAGTGTGCTGATGGGGCATTCAGACTCCACAGGACGCACATGTAGATTTGTATAAAGATCAGGGAGTTTGGAGGAGCGTATTTTTAGGGAGGTCCCGAGGAGCCCCGAGTGGGAAAAGAAGTGCGGTGATCAATCTTTCAGGCCCCGCAAAGAGGCTGACAGCGGCCCCTCTCTGTGCCTACATAACAAGCAAACCTCTCTCTCCATTTCTCCCCTTTTAAATTTAGTATTCCATATTTTTACGCTGCTTTTCCGCAAAGTAAATACGCTCGTATGTCATGGAGAAATAATGTATCTGTTGAGAAATAAACCAGAGACAAATGCATTTGTTATTTAGCTCACACAGTCGTTTTCCTCTTTTTCCCATGCCATTTGGTTTGCCCTCTGACTCTGAGAAAGAGGCAACAGAAGCAGCAATGTGAGTGGGAGTGAAGTCATTGAGCAGCAGAAAGCAGCAGTGAGTAGGCCGAGGTGACATGAACACACCACACACTGCTGATTGAGCTCCTACACCACAACACACCACAGCAACTGCTTTAATTATACTATTTCTTACTTTTTTATCCATTTTTTTCTTGTTGTAAAATTCCGAGGAGTTTATGGGAAGTTTTGCTAGGGACAGATATTTGTTTCCGGGTGTGCTGGAATATGTTTTTACATTATTTTATTTATCAGTGAGCTCTTTTGTTTCGGAGAGGGTAACACACGTATTTCTATTCCAGTTTTATTGTTATCTAATTTAAAATGTAACATTAATTACTGATATTTTTAATTAGTTCAAGTTCCGGGTAGAAATTGTAAATACAATTGTAAAATAATAGTAATAAATATGAAAAAGACAAATTAAAAGACAAAGAAAAAAGTTTGAGATCTAATAGTTTCACTGTTATTATTCTTACTATTATTGATGGTATTATTTATTTCAAAGAACTCCAAAACATTTGAATACGTACTTATATTTGTGTTTAAAGGACATGTGTGAAAAAGTTAAGGTAATATGTTCCTATGAGCTAAAAAATAAGGTGTGCTCTTTACCTTAAAATACATCTTAAAGGTATATATTTACCTTAATTAGTCTAATCCACCTAAAGAGTGTAACCTTATTAGTTTTTAATTGTAACCTGGCTGGGAGTGTGTGTTCTGCAGTAATAGCTGCATTGAGCTCTGCGTCTGCTTTTATGAGGCAATAAATTAGATCCAATCTCTGCTTATTGGTGTTTTTATTGTCTGTTAGTCCAACAAAGATGTAAAGGGAAGTACGGCCATTATTTATGGGAGCCTGATTTATGTTTTATGCTGCTCTCAGGCCTCAGCACGAGCGCGTTCAAGAGATAGAGATGTGTGTGTGTGTGTGTGTGTGTGTGTGTGTGTGTGTGTGTGTGTGTGTGTGTGTGTGCGTGTGTGTGTGTGTGTGTGTGGGGGGGGTTAGAGACCATGTGACCGGGCCGAGGCTTCAGGGCTTTTTTTAGACATAAACAGCAACATAAGACACAGAAACGAAAAGTTGAATGGGGTGAAAACATTGGGAGAGAGGAGTCTGATCTGTTTTTGTTCCCTGACTTTTCTCTGGTTA